ACACACACACACACACACACACACAAATTAGGTTGAGTTAAATCCCATTTCAAAGAACTCACAGTCTAGAGAAGGTATGATACAGATATGCAAACAAGGAATTACTGGTTAAACCTGATAAGAGTACTGAGGACAGAATGATAACCGTGTTGCTGGGGACAAAGGGGAAAAGTCAGTGGATGGCGGATAAAGGCTGGGAGGCTTACACAATCCAGGAGAATGAAAGAAATTTCACAGACAGCTAGAAGAGGAAAAGGGAAAGCACTAAAAGCGGAGGTAATGGACACAGATGAATATCTAATCTTGCACGCCTATATACCTCAAATCATTATACTATGCAAGGCACTGGTCAAAGTGAGTTTAAGGAGTCAGACTGTCTTGGGCAATGAATTGAAAATTTTCTTGATATTTTAATGAATAAATTCTAAAAGCATATTTATGTATCTTTAATTATGGTTTATTCAATCTTTCTAATTAGCTACAGTCCTGGTATTCTGCCTGTCCCACCCTTTCACATTTTGGGTAAGTTGATTTTTTACCTTAAATAGATATCTCACAGCTGAAGTATTACATTAGAACTTTTGCCTANACAAAAGGGAAAAAGAATAATTAAAGATGGCATTTCCTTAGAGCAGACATAGCAAAAAAAAGGCAATGATTTATTACAGAAAGAATAAAACTGATTTGCTAACTTTTCCTTATTCTTGGTTTCTACATCTTAATTTTATCTAACTTGAGGCAACTTCATAAATCTGTGTCCTGATAAGTTTATGGGTCAAATTCCACTACAACCCAAATTTCTCTGAAAACAAATTTTCTGACCTCACAAATGTTCTCATTCAAACATTACCTAATATTAACATATTCTAGTCACCAGAGTCCAATCCCTGAAAGTCTGCTGCAAGAAAAATTGACTGCATAAATCCTATTTATTGTAGGAGATGAGATATAATGTGACCATTTTGAAAACCGTTCTAATCTCTTAGGAGTATATAAAATGATGAATGTACATGTATGATTTTACTGTTTTTCCATGTTGACTTCAACGTTCTTGATTCAGTGACAACTAAAATAAATAAATAAAGATAAAAATAAAAAAATTTGATGACCAGTAAGGGTATCATAACCCTTGACTTGGTGTTGCCAGCACCACGCTCTCCCAAGTGAGCCACGGGCTGGCCCTCACTGTTGATTTTAGACAATGTTATATTTTATCCCTTTTCAACTTGGGCATTTCCTTTTTAAAAATATGAGATAATATAAATAAATATAAATATAAATTATATAAATGTAGAGAGATGTGTCAGGATCTTTGAAGAAAGAATAGGTGATAACAAAACACTTAATATTAAGGTGAGAGTGAATAAAAAATAAAACAAAAATCAGCAAACAAAAGAAAAACACTGAAGCATGGCAAAAGAGGTAAGTACAGGGTTGAAAAGTTCGGTTCACTCTGGTAAATAATTTGAGTTTCACTCATTTATTGAACAGACACTGAAGTAGGGACACACACACACACACACACACACA